CACGGATCATGTAATGGCTCACAACAGTGAAATTGATAACAATGCACAACTCATTACTTATGCACAATGTGAATGTCATTTTATTTAGGGTGGAAATGATCAGATAATTTTGAGAAAATGATCGATTCGGGTGACAAAATTTTGGTCCATGCTAACCTTTATGTATCCACCACCACAGTCGATATCCTGGTCATGCTTTACGCTGTACTGAATTATGATCTTCTTGTCTCGATTCGAGAATTTCTTGGCAAATTTCGCAGACAATGCATAGAAACTTGCATTCTGTAAAATCACAAAAGTAGTGAATCAAAGTATACGATGGATCTGTGGAATTGCTGGCCCGGAATCACCGCAGCAGACCAAGATTTACCGAGCGAACCTGACAAAATTTTTGGCCAGGCTCGGCAAGCCTTGGTTTCGAGAGAGGGAGGCTGGCCCAGAAACGGCATTTTCATACTGCCGCATTTTTGGATGAGATGAACTGACGACAAAAACGATAAATTAAATTACGACGCACTCAACAGAACAACACAATCTCAAGATGGCAACATCAGTCGAGAATAAAACGCCGACTGGTCATGAAACCGATAGTAACACAAGGACTACCTTAGATGTCTGGATACCTTGGTCACGTTTCTCGTCATCAAAATCTTTACCAACGGCCAACTTAAAAGTACCATAGTCGTCCTTGTGTTTCGATTGAACCCAACGTTCCTCCCATTTTCCATCTGCAATGACCTCAAATCATTCGAGCAAATCTGCTGAAGTTGAACGCACTAAATATTTGAAATGAACATCCGCTAGAAGTGTGTTTCGTCGTTTCACAACCACCTCAGCAAACCAATCGAACTAACGAATCGTGCTTTAACCGATTGTGCCGTAGGGAATCGGCGACTGAAGACATTCGCTGAATGACCAGTTCCCCTTCTAGACGCAATATCATCAGTTGAAACCTCTCAACGATGCGCAAATCGAAAAAGGTTTTCGTTTTTAGATGCTGGCTAGGAGAGGCAATCGGAAACTCAACCAGAATTTGGCAACTTATCACCCAACTAGAGTAGCACATTGCGCTCAACCGCTCCTCACATCACACGCTCTGTTTCCTTTTCAGCCAATCAGAATTTAGCTAATTTCTTCAAGATGTAGGGATACTGTAGATCTTAGACTCCAAGATGGAGGGATACTGTAGAATTGGGGATGCAATCGATGTGAGGTTATCTGAACTGAAAACGAACGGGAGAAGTATAGATGAGTGAGGAAAGTTATAATTAATTCATATAACGCCGAGCAGTTGAACATTTGAAGCATAAATCAAATATCAGTCGATGACTTCAAAAAGAATTTACCTTTGAATTCTTCCTCGAAGAAAACCTCACCCACAGTGAATACCACCAGAGTGGCCAATAAAAAAGCAGAAAATACTCTGATCATATTCAATCAACGTTGTCGTTTATCCAGGTTGAAATCTTTGAAGGGAATCAGAAGAGTGATGAAATTTTTCTAGCGGATGCGAGATCCGATCTGGTATGTTTACGAAAAAGGTAGCTGACAGTAGGTGATTTATAGGGCTTGACAGCTGCCTATACAAACGATTAGCGATTGTAGTAGGAGTGAGAAACGAACAGACTGAGTATGTGAACGTACAATAATGGATCATGAATGTGGCGCCAGAGGTAAGCTTATTAAGGATTTGAAAGAGGTGTGCTTTGTAAGCGAGGCAATCTGTGATTGGATCCCTGCTGCATTCCACCAATCGTCTCATGACGGCACATCGAAATTTGCATTCCGCTCTCAATGGGCACGATTAGTGATTTGTTTTTCAAACGGAATCAATTGATTTAGCACTCATATGTTAGTATTGACAACGCCACCTGTAATAATAAAATTCATAATCATATCGATGAACGAATAACATAGATAGTTTTATGAACACATTCATACAACTGTCGCATTCATTAATGATGACGTTGAGTTAATGCGCCGTTACCAATAGTGCACTGTGAGTTTGTGAATTTGCAAGTTTCATACCAAGTTTCATATCTTTTTGCAAGTTTCCTATCTTTTTGAGAATGATTAATGTAAAATCAGAAATATTTATTATTCTGATTATACTATGTTATTCTCAAATATAATTGCAATATGTATTAGTGAAACTGTAGAATTTTCCACCTCGATTGCTCAAACCACGTTCAGTGAAGGTAGAGTCAATACTCTTCTTCAATTTTCAGGATCAGGATGCAAAAGTGGGTCAACTCGGAGTCATGAATGTCACATGATTGAAAAGAATACCAATCGCAATAAACCGGACGGAGTTCCGAATTTATAAAATTCTAAAAATAATCATGACAAAAGGAATTTCCAGTGCCGCATTTCTACTGTACTGAATTATCTCGTGCGATGTATTTCATTAAGAGCTGTTGTAATATTGTGCTTATCCGAGTAATTGGAATATATTTATGCGATATTGCAATATCTTGAGGTGGTGTTCGTGAACTGCTATGTGCAATTCATTACAACTAAACATGCAGACAATTCTTGCGCATAACGTCATGTGCGAAATGTTTTATTTTCATTGTAGGATGGAAAAACGAGGACCCTAAAAATGAGGTCGGCTCGAAAAAAGTCAAGGACGGGGATCGGGGACGCATCCTCAAAAGTCTGCATTTATCTTAATACGTAGGCAAGTATAACGCATATATATCAATCGTTTCTTTTTGAGTTGAGTGCTTCTTCGTATAAGATGTGTGCAGTTGTAAATATTAGGCATTTGACAGCCACCGACGTCACAAATCAGCTCTCTTGAGGTATATGGCTTGAGTGAAGTGATGTGAAATGAATTATTGCAATGTAAAATCCAAACATGCGAAAGGAATGTATTTCGAACAATCAATAATACAGTTAAAGGTCAATCGTTACATATACAGTGGGTTTTCAACGAATGAAAAAGACATTTTAACACGACCTCTCGCTGATTAACTCTCCCTCCTCACCCTTCTCCAAACCCTACCCTCTGATAATCTGTCACTTCTTAGTAAAGAACCACCGAAAAATCCACAAATTCATCCACTAATTAATAAGTCTGCTCTAAAAAAACAGAGAAGTCTGTCGTTACTATCAAATGAAACATTTTTTTTCGTCATTGAACAGACATTCTGAAAGCACTGTCTTTCGGAAGAATTATGAGTTTCCTTATTCTTCCGAGATCCCCAAATTCGCTACGAGAGAACGTAATTTCCCCTGCAACAATCACTTCTCTAACATAAACGGCACGTACGACGGCATTTTATTCTCATGTATTCATACGATTGACAATAGATGATTCGTGCAACACATAAGCTCGTTGGATCCTCATCGTAGCATCCTAAAAACAACCAGCTGATTATAGTTCCCTACGAAAAAGCATGATATCATAGTCATGGTAAGTCACGAATAGGAAGGTTTTGCGACATTGCAAAATGCCAGAAGGAACGTATTCAGTTTGCTCTGAAAAAAAGATCAAACAAAATCATTCTCAAGGGAGTCAAAATGGTCAATATTCAATTCTGTTGTGATATTGGTCCGCCTAATCGATTCATAACACATATGGGATGCGAGTCTAAAATGGGATTGTTGCATTCAGCACTACGTCTTAAATGTTCATTGTTAATCATTCAAGGTTGAGCACTCACGGCGTTGAGGTATNATGTATGCTCTCCGCAATAAGCACTCAAGTCTTCTTGCTTATCTCATCGTCTGCTTCATCATTCGTTACGAATAATTCCCCAAAAACCTCTCCATTGCAATTCAATTGATTATCAAACGAAATTTTCATTGCAGTAGCAGTTTTTGTGCACGAGTCACTCGCAGTCGTTATATCAACGCTATTGAATCAGACATTTTAGCGGAAGATGGAATAGAATAGATGTGAATCAACTGATTGGCTAAATACCCGTCTTGCTTGCTGTTGCTGTTGATTAGGAACGAACGGACGAACCGGTTGAGGAGGTCTGATCGGCTGAGTTTGCTGGCGTTGTGGTTCAGATGGGCGAATGGCTTGCGGAGGACGAATGGTGAGTTGCTGCGGTATTTGTTGGGGTGGTTGTTGCTGTTGGAACTGAGTTTGCACCCGTTGCAACTTGCGAGTTCGCTGATTCAGTGGCCGCACAGGCGGTTGACCGATACGATTCGTGTTTCTCGGTTTCGTAACTAATACCATTTCTGGCGCTGACTTAAACGAATCTCTTGTCTTTTTGATGCTTACACACTACTGAATCAATCGACGCCAAGTTTGAGTTCTTGTCACCTTGCCGAATGACATTTCTAGGGCATGTGTAAACAATTTCTTTCAAAATTTAAACTTGAAAGCATAACCCGAACTGGTACATTTCTAGACTCAAACAATGCACTGACACCATCATGAGAATTGAAATATGAAAACACATAGCCCTATACACAATGAGTGGCAACTAAGAGTAAGGAATNAGGAATTGCTATCTGCGAAAGAGTTCATCATCAACTTTGAAAGCCTGGAAATTGTAAGGTTTTTGTTTTAGTAACGACATTGACATTGCATATTCTATTGTTGCAGCCTGGCTGATCGTGATAAAAATGGTATTAAGAATGAGATGAAACTCACTTCGAACGCATCTTCGAATCGTTGTGGCTTTGGCGTGAATTCCTTTGAATTTACTTGGCTCATAAATGCGATGTCTTGATCGGGACCGATTCCTTCGAAAATTCGATATGTATCCAACTTGAACTTTTTCGCCTAAACTTTCCGGTAAAAATCCCACTCTACTGATTCTAACTTAAGCTGAGCACAAATTCGATGTTAGCTTGTAGCAAGCACATTTGAAGAGTAAAGTCTAGTTCGGTGATTCGTCCGCAGTTGTGTTTGATTAGTGCGATGATAACTTTCGACAACAGAATTAATTTGATTGTCCGATTCAATCTCTCATTTTTGAGTGGACGCACAACATCAATCGCTATCACTTGTCGTCCTTAACCGCATCACAGAGAAAAGTTTCTGAATTAGTCTTTAAAAAGATCCCGAAGGCGTATGACGGCTCCAAAATGCATATGAAAGATATGCCGCAATTTTTTTCACTCTCAATTTGCTGCAGGCAAACAACTGCTCGTCATTGTTATGAAGTGTCTGCATAAAACATTGAGGATTTTCCCCCTGAATTTTCGGTTTTGCTCTTTCGAAAGAGTTTTCAGTTAGAGTCTCCAGAGCACATCCCAAACCCTTCTTTTCATTCATCAGTCTTAACCATAACAATCTATTAAACGAGTAATTCTGGAAATTTTGCTTTTTTGTTCAACGATTTTTTGGTCAAGCAATCGTTCTGAAAAGTACGAACTTTACAATATATTCGAATTTCGATCAATTAATTACTGGCACGACTGATGCTGAACGAACAAGGCGATCAACACACTGGAACACTTTGAGAAATATATATTCTCTGACAAAAAATTCGGATGAGAGGTGCAAATTCTAGTTTAATTGTACATCGTGTTCAATCATAGAAATATTTTCAAAAGCAATATCTTATGTTATTTGTGATCCAGTGTCATGTTAGGAAGCTGTAGCTCTAATTCGTTTAATTTCTAGTACCACTTGGAGGGTGATTGCCGGCAATTGTCAACCTATTTCGAGTGATTTCAGCAGTTGCAGTGAAATTTGTAGTTGATAGTCTTTTACCTGTGTGCTTTATAATTGATAAGTACAAACAATAGGGTGATTGTGAGTCGACATTCTGGAGAGCATCACTTTTTCGCTTTGCAAATTACAGTGAACTGATTCATTGAACACAAGCGAAAGAATTCGTAGTTAATTTGCAGTGATCGCAGTCAAAAGCGTAAGTCAATGCGGTGATCGTTTTCGTTGTACACTGTAAAACTACCTGAGGTCATGGTATGCATTGTGCGAAAAAAAAATTGAAATGATAGATAAATTATCGAATTTAACTCGTCTCTTTCAATCGGTTAAAGGATCCTTCTTGCAACTGATTAATTACTCAAGTGTCACTGATTGAATATATACATCAATCAGCAAATAACTGTCACCTTAATGCTGAACGTACTCTGATGCATATCAAATTATCAACGGAATGTGTGTGCATATCGGAATTATGGAAAAAAATTTGAGAAGAAAAGAACAGTTAATAGTCTGGTTCCCGAAGGTATGGTTTTTGTTTCGTGAAACTTTTGCAAAATTCTTTTCGGTGCCGAAATTATTGCAAAGTTCATTTTCAACAAAATTTTTAATTGATGCCTTAAATTACTCGCTATCTTGTCAAATATTAAAGAAAGTCTTACTTATTTCGCGTTTTTGCTAGCAGATTTGCTCCGGTTCGTCGTGTTCAGTCAAAATAGGAGAATGAAGATTGGCAACACTCTTCATTCTCGTATTGACTGAGTATCATTAACTTGTTCGGGCCTAACACGGTTTTCATTCGTTTTAAAAGGGCTCATAGCTTTTATCACCGAAAGTGTTCTCTTTTGCAAATTTCTCATTCATTTCACTCAACAATTAAAGTCAAATTCTCATTCCATCAAATGCACTCAAATAATTGATCATTTGACTGTCGAATGTTGTTGAGCAACAATATTCGATCGCTGTATTCTTGATTTCGGTCGTCAGCAATAGTCAATGTATTCAGTAAATAATATGTGCTACCGAATAAGAAATTGAGTCGAACTGTGAAGTGAAATGAGAGGAAGTGAATGAGAAAAACTCATCAAGAGAACGATACTCGCGTGTATTAGCTATGAGAGTGAGTACAACACGTCCAAAAAGAACGAGAATTCATACAAATCAGTTAAAGTGATCGTCTCATAGACAATAGCTTTTCATGCAATCATAACTGATTGCAATACTGAGCAACACAACGGTCTAAGAGAAGGCCCAGCGACGTCGATTACCATCATGGACGAGCTAATAAGATTGAAAGTAACGGTCATCTGAACATAACATATGTGATTTTCATATTTAATGGGGGGGGAGGGGGAGGGGGGTTAACGGCGGCTTGCCACACCGAAAAAAGGTGTAATGGAGCACACCAACGTGAAAACCACTGATCTAGCTCATGAGCTGACTTGGATAACCAAATATCAATCTTAATCAAGCACTTTTTGTGATCAAAAAAGCACTTTCTGTCATGTTTTATTCTTCAACTAAATCCTCCGATATGAATTTCTTCCAAACGTGAAGTGTTTTGTTGCTTTGCCTCTAAGTGGCTATGTGACACTCTAGATGACAATGTGACCTTGTCGTAGGTTATTTCTCTATTCCGAGTTAATCGACTGCTATGAAAATACTGGAATCCGTAGGAGTCTGGTGATTGCAGTGACCTCGACTGAGAAATTCGCTTGCTTGACTACACCAATGACGATCAAATTATAGAAATGGCTCATTTGCAGATCATCAAACAATCGGATGGTCTTGATTAAATTAAACTGGTTCTAACAAATAATATTCATTTAGAGCATGTGTTAAGTGTTTGATGAAAAATAAAAGCCAAACCGAGAAGCATTGTAAGCAATGGTGAAATTCGTGTGCTTTTCAATTGCCTGATGGATCTCTTTGTTCTGCAACAACTGTTGAGAAAGTTTTCTCGCTCAGGAATGCAGAAAAAAAATTGATTCAAGCAAGATATTTGCCGAAAATTTTGAGTACAATTATTTGTTATTTAAGATGGCCAAATTCGTGGTTCAAAAAGCAAGATATTTTGTCAGTCGATCATGAAGTCTGCGTAACTGATGTCACAAGTGTTCAAAAGTATTCTGGTTCTGGATAACTCACTACGCGCGACTGCTTATAATTAGTGAAGATACAATAGTCAAGCGATATAGCAATTTTTTTTTGCAAATTTATTTCATAAATATTTCGATGTGAGGAATTCAGAGTATATTCACTGGCTTATCGGCAGTTCCTCACATCGAAATATTTAAGGAAGAAATTTTTGAAAAAATTTGCTCTATCGCTTGACTATTGTATCGTCACTAATTGTCGCGCGTAGTGAGCTATCCAGAACCAGAACGCTTTGTAATGTTGCACGATTGAATGGATAAAACTGGTCAGTGGATAAAAGTCACCGCTATGCACACTCCATTTCAGCATTCCAAATAATGCGATGCACTCGAACGGCTTTGTCAAATTGCTATACGATTAAATCCATAACCACCAGAAAAAGCTGCTGTGAGCAATAATCATTAAGCCATTTCAATCAATCAATAAGCTTATAATTTTTGATTAATTGATCCATTACTCAGATTCGAACACGGCTTTCCCTTCAAAACATCCATAAACTTGCACTTTTCATTCCCTTCTCGATCAATGAATTGAAGCAAATGTTCTAGACAGTTTTGTTTTGTTCAGTGCCGTGTAATGAATCAATCAAATATGAGCAATGAAATGACTTGAGCTGAATTCATTGAATGGTGGCATTATGAAGTGATGAGAGTGATTCGTTGCTTTGCTGCATGTGAGAACAACAACGACACCAACCACCACGTAACTGATTATTTGCATGGATTGTGCGAGTGTGAGTTCATGCAGTCAGTCACAACGAAGAATTCACAAATGAAAGCAAATCTTTTATCAAAGAAGCATCAAGCTGTAAGCATAGCCTAGGAGTCAAAATTATTGGTGTCTGGGAAAGGACGCACCGGCGGTGGAGGAGTCACTGGCGGTGCAACATAATTGGTGATGCCGTTCGGTGAGACTTGACATGGTGGAATCGGTACTGATAGTACCGACTTCACCCAGAATTCTCGTTGAGCCTTAACCACTGTGGCACTGAAAATAACAGTTGATTAATCGCCGACACACACCAATATGAGCATCTTTTGCGACTTATCGCAAAGTCCGTTTCCTTTATTCAGATCTGGACACGAATATTTGCGCGCCGTTCATACTGTACGCTCATAATCAATCAGTTCATCGATATTGCCTCACAATCAGTAAGATTTGCACTAGTTTTCAACTTCATTTAGATCGGAGTATGGATGATCAAAATGCTGAGAATCAGTTGTCTGCGAATGAATAAACAAAAATACGCTTTTAAAATATTGAACTGACACAAATTGTATGGTATCTTCGTCGTTATAGTCATTCTTCCACCACAACTTGATATGTTTCTTTCGTTCATCATGTGAATGCGTCACTGAATCCTTAAACCGAAAGCATTGTTGCTGCCATGATCCATTGTCGTCCAGACGTAAAAACTGTCCCATCCTAAAAGGATTTTTCTCGTTATTTCAGTATTTCGCTTCCAACTCTTGCAAACTCAAAGTTTTGCTCTGCAGCAAAACATTCTGACAATTTGCTCTACTCACAATCAATCGCAACTCCATTGACGTCACATCTTATAAACCACATTCGAAAGCTTCCTTATCCGAGGTTTCTCCTAGGAACTTTTGTGCGCTCTATTTCTTTTGCTTGACAGAAAAAGGATTGATGCGCTTTTAGTTTCAAACCCATTTCGCGCTCTTCGTCTAGTTTTTTCAGTTCAAATCTAGACAGTTACGAGGTGATAAAACTGAGCGGTACGATTCTTATGTCTGTACTGCTGATGTTTGTTATCTGGAATGGGAGTTGAAGAGGTGAAGTAAAATGGATGGTAGGGAATAACTTTTGAAGTGAATGAAACAAACATGAAACAAAAGTTGTCTCATTTGATTGAATGCTTACTGTTCAATTTTCATTTTCAATTGGATGACAGCGACAAAAAAAAAAAACAGAAAACAACTGGCAAACTCGAAGTTGCAATTCTCTTTTATTCTCGTGGTGATTTTTTGAGAACTAAAACGGACTTAGTACCAGATGGCATCAACGCCGACGACATAGATCATATGTGATCGATGGTCATGATCAATGTGATGTACATCGATGGCAATTAACTCAAATACTGTTTAGGGAAAGAAGGCTGCTCAAGAATCGAGTTCAAAGAACGGCACATGATGAAAGTTTCACGAGTTTGCGCACATCGTTTTGAGGATCAATGCTGAAAATGAAACGAAAGCTTATCGCACAACCTTTTGCCTTGATGTGGTCCACGATAGACAATTGGCTGGATAGCAAATCCCCGGAATTTATCAGTTGATGAATTGCCTTTTAGCGTTACTGAAATTTCGCTCTCTTCATATGTTTATGACAATATGCATGAATGAAAATCGAAATGATCAGACAGATTAGAGATGATGTGGAATAGGTGAATAACTTTGATCGTCTAAAGGTACATTCGGTAATCGCTAATTGTTTATCGTATCAGGAAGAGTCGTTAGCATTTGCAATGTTCGCTCGAAAACACTGCTAAGGCTTCAAATAAAAACATTTTCAGAAACCAGATAAATCAGTGCAATATTTTAACTTTGCTTTTATCGCTCCAATGTAAACCAACGACCATCAAAAAATGAAACTGCAGGAAGATGAAATAAAGAAATGATCAAAAAATGCTCTAAAATCACTGCTTTTTATCGTTTAAAAACTCGTTTCCTCATTTCATTGACACATAAAAAGTATTATGAAGACAGAAAAATATTCAGAATGTTCTCACATTCAATCGGTTGACTTCTCCAATAACATTTTTGCGCTACCGCGATTGTGTACGGCGGATTTGTCAACTGAAATTCCAATTGATTGTTCGTGAGAAATTTTGATTGCAGATTATTTTCAGCACATGGTCATTCCACTCACGTTCCATTGCTTTTGGGACCAGAAATGTTACTTGTTCATGATGAATGGTTTGATGTCGAGTAGAACAGTTTGGCAATACGATGATTTCATAGTCAGTCAATGCAAGTTGACTAACTGGCGATGACACCATTAAGATTATTCGGCAGCGATAATTATCAATCACCATTTTTTGATGGTTCGAAGAGCAAGGAATTAGTGATGCTCGTGACAATTTTTAGGACTTTGATGATTCCAAGACTTAAGTTAACAATAGAGGGAGGTCTTAAGAATAAGTTTTTTTTTCGGCAATTGTGGCTATGCTGAACAATGGAAAACGCGGTAATTGAAGCTTGAGCAAGAAGCATATTGAGAGCGGAACAAACTGACGACTTTCTGTTGTCTGAATAATGCGGATGATTTTTGTTCAAGGCGAACAATGTATAAATGCATCATCTGATCGGTACATTCAAGAATCTCGTATCATACTTATGCTCGACTATAGTTAACGTGCCATTATGCCATGCTTTCACTTCAGTACGTGAGAAACATTTCGCTCGAAATTTTTACTATTTTGTCTGAAACTTTTTTCGAGGCGTGCATCGCTGAAAATACCCTCAAGCTGTGTGTACTTGCTTCCTTCGCTCCATTTATCAGTTATAAACTTTCCATAAAGATAAATATCGTCATTAGTATCAGACGCATTTGGTTCAGTTTGATGTGTTGAAACGAGTTTAGACACTTTCAAAAGAATAAATCGTGTGACAAGCGAACCAAATGGTTCGATGACAAGCAAAGTAAATGATTGCTGGAAATGATAATATCAGATAGAATTTTGTTTTTACGAGACATCGTTCACAAATGAGCGCATAAATCATCAGAATGCAACTAACGTGCTTACACACCCAAATGGATCAGCGAATAAGCGGAAAACTATTTGCTTGGAATTCGCTTAAAAAATGCATTGAATGAAACGTTATGGTTCGTATTTTCATCATAAATTAATTTATTGCTCTCTCCTTCCGATAATTTCATTGCTGATGATAAAAGATAGCCTTTCTTCAATAGGTTTTTGTTCCTTACGTAAGTCATAGAATTTGTATTTTGAACCTTCGCACTGTTCCTATGGAATTATCCAAAAATTAAGATTAACTTCAACAGCTCTGTCATTAAATTGCTCAAAGCATAAGATGAAAATGTTCAAAACCGGATGAATATCATAGATTATATACTATCGGGTATCTGGATAATTGCTCTCAAAAAAATAACTGCCAGATGAATGCCCCCGGACACTAACTCTCCAGACATTCGCCTCCCGAAACAACTACCCGATATGTCATCTTCGACAGCTTGCCTTCACACAATACACATTTTCGTAAACATAAGTTCTTTCGATCCTCACTATTAATATCACAATCATTATCTCTGTCGCTACTGTTGCATTATATTGATATTCTCACTCTAAGGTTGAGACTGGAATGGAGGCTTAGCTTGAGTCTGATGCTTGGGCCTAGGCTGAAGTTCACGTCAAGGCTGCGGCCGAACCTCAGATAACGCTGTAGCTAATCGTAAAGAGGAGATGTCTATCGCATTTAGTTGGAAGTAGATTGCTGAGAGCAGTTATCTAGGATGCAGTTGATCCGAAACAGTTGTTCTAGAACCATACTATCGTCATCTGTATTGCGCGCTTCGATGCTTCAAACGATGAAGTAGGGAACGAAAGGACTTCTCAGAATAATTTTGCTGCGATAAACTTGCACATAATTTATTTTCGGTCAAAAAAAAGAACATCCTCAGCAATGAGACCAAAATATTGCGGAAATTGAATTCCGTGGATTGGGATGGATTAGGCGACAAGAGTATGGATTCAATGACTTATCGAAACAGTTTTCCGCCATGACGCTTTCTTGAGGCTTTCTATCACGTTTCTGAGGAATCAGATAGAGGAACTTCCGAAAAATTCCAGCGGAGTATCATTCTGATACACGTTCTATAGAGGTAAGCAAGAAATAAGCGAAGAGGACAAGAAAGCAGTGAATACCTGAAGTCCACCTTGATGTTCAACTGCTTCCAGCGGATTCATTGATTCAAATGCTGAATGTATGCACGGTGCTCCATCAGGCCATGCACCACTCAAGTGATTTCCAACAAACGATACAGTGAATACAAACAGT